TACCCTTCAATAGTCGACATCAATAATCCGCTTACCCAACATTACCTTGACCGCAGGTGAACGGATAATCGGACACAGGCACTTCACACGCAAGTGCATAGATACTTACCAACAAACAGAAACATAGCTTAATTAACATTAATCAATTTAGAGGACGAGAGGAGATTAGATTAGTATCCATAGCGCTTAAATAGACCGTAGAAATTGACATAATAGCGTCCTGTTCTACTAACCATTAAACTGATCTTTAACATTTTTTATGCTTAAGTGTGTCAGATACAGGCTTTGATGTTCATAGGCATTTTGAACAATGACGATTAAAAGCACGAATTTTGCGAAGAACATAGTCAGTTGATATTATCTAGTGCTAACTATGGCTGTAAAATGGAGAACAGAGTCCCTTTCGGTGCTCATTACAGTACCTAGCGTTCGTACAGCAATATAACACAAGCAAAACTATAGTTTTGGCTAGTGTCTACCTGCTTTCCGTATGGGCATGGATAAGGGTCACGAAATCATCTACCCTAGCGATTATTGGCTCCATAAGAAAATAACATCGCTCCTCAAATGAGCAGTATTTCAGTGAATCTGAATGAATATCTCACGCTGTTACCACAGAGAACACGAGAGTATGTATAACTTTTCTGTACGATCGTCTAACGACGGTACTCCACCCATAAGCGTCGATATGGCCATATATGGGCAAATAGAAATTAATGCAAATTACGGTACTAGAACACTAAAAAGCCACTCATAAAAACTCTGCCGATACGCCATTGACCGTGACCCTTTTTACTTTGTACCTATTCTGTATCGCCACCAACCATTTCTTACAGAAAGGTGATATTATTAGCTGTACATCTATAGCCCAAGTCAATTACAATGGGTCGCGCTTGTTGTATTTGTAGGACATATGAAAGATTCGACCAGTTACTTAAGTTTGTTGAAAATAATTTCTCGAAGTTACATCACATCTAAGATGAACGATTGCAGCAGAGCATAATTGGGTAGCAGTATGAATATAGCCTGACGTTTCGTGGACCGCCACCACATGTAATGGCAGAAACTACTAGGCCTAAGCAATTTCCCATCCTAAATTGATCAGTGTTTATAATGTTGTTGCCCCCATTCGCCTTCATCCAAGGTCAAGATATAAACACTTCGAGTTCGACTTTACTGAAATAATTTAAAATAAGCGTTCATGTATAAAAATGCGCATGGGATTCTTAGCACAGCAATAACCGTTGCGAGGCTTTCAGACGTAATATGAAGGACGATACAGCTGCAATGAAGCTATTCGAAATATGCGTCAATCTCACATTATATGTCTAGGGTGACCGTCCCCCCAGAGGGGTGGTCTTGTCTGGCCCTAATGAGCAAAGCCTGATGCGCTCCACCTGGTTTTCTCTTTACGCACAGCTGCACACCAGCGAAGTCAACTCTATAATGAACTATGGCTGTAAGCATATATCAGGAAACCGCTATTAGTATTAAATTGGTAATATAAAGGTTTTCGGTAAAAGATCTACACTTCAATAATATATGGGCGCAGTTACCAAAAATACCTTTAATAGCATACGCAATTTGCATCATGTGACATCATTTCTCAAGCGACTGCAAGTTCCTGACAAGATCGTTAAATCCTTAATATTTGCCTACAAAAGTAAATATTCCATATACTACACTTATGTTACTCACTGCTCTCTTCATTCGTTGCAGCTAATTCAATTATGAGAAAAATTGTTTTTCCTACTCTCTCGATCGAGCGAAATTGACAATCACCCATCATTCTTAACAACGACACGACCAGTGAGTAATAGTAAATTGCCGCAAGTTTCTTCATTTTGCCTCTACCTCACAAATGGAGCGGAACAACAGAACTGCACAATACTTCTACTGTTTCCCTTCCTCTCTTTTCTTGAGGTTTAACCTTCGAAGCCGCGCTTTTAACAAATTTTCTATGGCTAAAAATTGTCTTCACTCTTCTGATATGGTTCCAGACACAACCATCGCTACTGGTATCGGCTTATCGACCTAAACGTCAGCACCGTGTCCGTATAATGACGAAATTCAATTCGTTACCCAGTTTCAATACCGCTTGCGAATCGTTTTAGAGTCCAACGCTCGATGACTATGAAAAATAAACTGTGATGTGTGAGTCTGTCCCTGGTCATCAGGACATAATGTGATTATGCAAAGTGTCGTATCAATGAATAGTGAAGTGACGGCGAAAGCAGTGTATATGCATATATAATCAGCCTTTCTGGGATGTCAAGAATGATGCAAGATCGAGAATGCAGTCTCTTCCCGCAGAACTCCTTTGACGGCATCGCTTTTAGTGCTGCTGTTGCAGCATTTGGAATACATAATATAAATGACTGATTCAGTTGTCGTGAAAATTATATTAGCTTAAGCGTGGAGCTTCAATATAAACAGAATTAATTAATTAGGCAACGTCCGATGATTGTCGATAATATAAGTAGACTGCATTTACAGATCTATGATAATAATATCGATAATGATATTATTATATAACTATGAAAATTGTTCAAACACGTTAGTTGAGCTCCTGTCTAATCGTGATTTCGACAAGCAATCTCAGAAAAACATACAGGTGACAAGACACGAAACATCGACGCTCATCTCCAAACAAGCTCTATTGCTTTTAAGCAAACTATGTAACAGCGCAAAGTTTTGAGTTTCTCGCCTTGTACTTCTATTAAGCATTGCTTCAGACAGCTGCCCTCCCCCCTCCCCCTCCCCCCCAGCACGCAACTAGGTGGGCCTTGCTTCAGATTTTACCCGCTTTACGTGTCCCTAAGTTAGTAGTCAAACATTATACTATCAGAAGGGCAAACACGGCACACAAGGTCGGATGATCACTGATGAAGAGTTTCATTCTATCGCAGACAAAAGACCGATCTGAATTCTTATTATAACGAATACAGTAGCGTTAACTGGCAATGGTATCTTTTATACAGCCAAGCTATAAAGACGGAACGAATCTGATAACACCAGTATTAATTAACAAGAGGCAGCGATAGGATGTAAGTTACGTTGAACGGCTGCTAAACCACAACAGACATTCTCTTACCCCGCTGATCACTTTGCCCCGTTTAGCCTGCATCTTCACACCTCTTTCCATTTTACACTTCACGTCATACAAAAACACTATCCATTTCCAGGCAAGCACTTCCTACAATAAACACTTTAAAGAAACGTTTACGTTATTTGGAATGGTACGGCATTATATGTAGTCATTACGTATAGTCTAAGAGGCGTGAAAGCCGACTACCTCGCCTAATTTTTCCAATTCACCAAACCGTAACGGAAATGTGTATAAGTTCAGGTTTAGTTTTCTTTTGCGAAGACATAAGTTACCGTGTTATTATATCGCAAGTTATACTAAACTGACTAAGCCTCTGGCTGAAACGAATCAAGGGTCGCTGACTTTAAGTCCCGTCGAAGATATAAATACTACACACAAACCGTGTGAACACACAAAACTATTTTATATCATGATGTACGAGAAATTAAATAACTCGTTAGTTTTTGAACTTCCAATCGAATTATCTAAGCACGTAGGTTAAAAACTAAAATGAAAATTTATACCAATATACACCACTACTGTATTCTCAATACGCACGCCATACATACTAGCCACCTGAAAACCTCAAATGGAAGATTTTAATATGGTAGTGACTAATATGTATATCGGTTCATCCTATTCGAATACGGCCTGTCGTTGGATATCAGGCCAGCGCCCTTCGGACTAGCTGTTTTATTCAAGGCGATTCGCATTTATTAGTATACTTAGTTCTCATAATTCTGATCTGCTGTGATCCAGAATAAATTCCGTAGTGGTAATAACCAATAATATTGTTGAATCCAAGAACGATACATATAGGAAATGTTTGTTGTTATTCTCCAGGTCTTTATTCACTATCGTTCCATGTTAAAGCCATTAACTCCAACTTCACATCTATGTTTTACAGCACTCATTCTAAAGTTGCAAAAACAACGCCAATCGATATCAAAATATTTCGATTGTATAATAAATATAAGAACTGCCATATATACCATAATATTCACTTAGTTCATTGAAACATTTGAAACTAAGATTTAATTTTTATTATAGAGTCCTAGCTTTTCCACACCAACAAAGCTTGCAGGTTTTACAATCGTCAATTTTCACGTGAGCCCGTTGAACCGACAATCCATGTCATCAAAATAAGTAAAAAACTGTGTATATTTTTTCAGTGCTCTTCACTTCATATATTCATAAATTTTAGAGCACTCTTTGACTTCTTCTATTAATAGTAAAACGAAGTAGTGGATTTTGACTGTCTTCTTCGACAAAAACTTTATCAAAAACCAGATGGCAAAAAATTCAGAAAAACCAGCAAAACCAGAAAAACAGCCAAGACTTAAACAAACAAACATATTTCGTCAAGAGTACAGAATAGACGAATTTCGTAAACTCCTTCGGATGCTGCACCTGGATTAGTCACCATCTACCGACACCGGAAAGGAACAAAAAACTTTCCTTTTATCACCAACTATTGAAAGTCAAGGGTTGTTGACACAAAAACATGGAAAGTCATCTCTGTTACAGCAGTGGAATTTAGATTCAATTTCTTTATTTTGTTAGTAAGGATAGAACATCGCCTAGTATAACGATCTTGTGGTAATGTCATTTATAATAGAAGAAGCGGATAGCAACCATTCTACAAGGCAATTATTACTAGTCACTAGACGTTCCGTTGCTGGACTGGATCAAATACAAGAAAAGGATTAAAAGATTTGAGCCTTCCAAACCAGAATAAAAACTGACGCCTCTAATGACAGTTATTTGAATTCCTCCATAGTTAGTGTCTATACTCACAATGAGCTCACCCTTTAGACGGCCATTCGCTATTAGTGCGTACATGTACATGAATGCATACTCCCGATACAGACCGCCAGTCCCGGGCAGCATAGGCGGTTGCGACAGCTCTTACCTTTAAATTGTTTGGGGCCTATGTCGAGTTTTCAGACCCGGAGTTCCATTCACTTGCTTCGAATCGATAGATATTCACTTAACACATGCTGTCACATTGATGTTCACGATAAATCCGTAAGGTGCACTCAACTTTGTGGCGGAGCCCTTCGTTCTTCGTGTACTGTTTCGGCCCTAGCTGGCAGCGTAGTGCGACCGCTCCAATGTTTTGACACTGACTGGCCTGCGTCTGGTGTGGTGGGGGACCGGAGCGATGGCGTCACAATCATCATTCCCAATGATCTTGGTGAGCGTTGAAAACTGCGAGAGCTAACCGGGCGCCTGCGAGCGAACGAGCAAACATAGAATCTCCGAAGTTGCCGGGGCGTCTGTATTAGGGGATGGCAAATCTCAGTTTGAGTAAAAGACGACTTTCATATATACAAGGCTTGCATATAGTTCCGGATGATACAATACTGAATGCGTGCTTGTCTACAGATGAGAAATACCTGTGAAATAGGATTTATGTGAATACCAGTGTATGACGTCTGCCAATATTTTATTGTGAATATCTGGCTAGTACATTTGTACACAGACATTAGAACCCTTTATTATTAACTTGTGATTATGACTTTTCACGTGGTTCTCTCTATACCTATAACTATCATGCCCGAAATTAAACACGGAAGTTTTTTTTTTGAATTTTTTAAGCTTACTTAGATTTTTCAAGTACTTTTGCGATACGTTCCTCCGAGCGATCAGAGAGTTTTGAAACAGTCAGTTTATCTTTAATAGGTTTCGCAGACAACAACAGGTATATCTTGAAAGTATCAATCACTATTTGTGTATGTTAAACAGGGCCGTTAGCTCTTTAATATTTATAAATTGGGAGAACATTCGTCACTTCTTACCGGAGAAATTAGTTTTACGTGGTTACAGTCGTCACAAGAATACTCAAATGACAATGTCCCATTAGAATCTTCGTTGAATTATTTTGTAAATATGAAACACTAAAATACCTATCATGTAAATGCTAATCATGTAATATACCTAATAATTAAGCATGGCGTCCTTAACCCTATTATTGGTGAACATGTTGAAAATGTATCTACATCGTTTACTGTGTGATAACAACGCGCTCCGAAAAGCAAGTTAGGTATTAAAAGGCGTCCAGTATTTAGCCATTCTATACTCTGAAATTAAGTAAAACATCACTTTGATTATATCTTCAAAATGTTATTGTTTATTTGTATTTTATATGAAAACTACAATTTGTTTTAGTGCATGTCTATAACCTGAAAAATCTAAAAGCTTTGGAAACAATATTGTTTTGAAAATGTTTAAATGATATAACTTCAGAGCAACTAAATGATGTAAAATAAGAAGCGCTATAACCAGCGTTGAATCGAATCGGCTATATTAATGTTTTGCATATCCACCTAAACATTAGCTACGTTTTCGGGAAAAGTGTTGAACCTCTTTGAAATTATTATTTATCAACAACAGAAGAAATCAACTATAGAGGCTACATAATATTATTCTTTTTGGGTGAGGGCATTTTTATACTTAAATTCATTTAATATTCAAATCATAATTCTGAGAACAGGAATTGACGAAATTTTAAAAAGCGGTACGAACCGGGTCTATGCTTATACGCTGAACTCTTAGCGCTACTGATAATTTAAACACTGAATTTCGGCATCGAAAATTCTGTAGAAATCATTCATTAGAGACACAGAAGCGTCTTTCCAATCAACTGTATTGTCAGATGTAAAAACGCAAAAGAAATCAATGCTTACTTCTCTTTTATGTTAAAATCCTTTTTCGAAACTCGTTATTTTTCCTATTATAGTATTTTCAGTAATTCACAATATATATATATATATATATATATATATATATATATCAACCTTTAGCATTTGGAATGCAATGATTATAGGGTGCTGACAAGAACATTTTACCTGGATTTCTTAAGCAGAAATAAAAATACAACACGAGTCAGTAATGATCAGCTGGATTTCTTATTTTATGGCTGACAAACTAAGTCAAAAAGAATAATTTCAGGCTTATTAGGACATTTTTAAATATTTTTAAATTTAAGTAAGTTACATAAAAAGTAAAATCTGTCAAAAGTTCACCTGGATTTGAGCAAGCAAAACAAATATATTCGAAATGTTACGCACAGAGCAGCACTTTTGAGTAAAGATATTAGTGCTAATAGACTTGACCCTTGTAAAAATATAAACTACAGCCTAAAGTAATGTTAAGAATAATAATAGTAATGCTACTGCTAGTAATAATAATAGAACATTAACATCGTGCCTCATTTCCGCTACTTTACCATAGAGTACGTTATTCATAGTCCGTATCTAATCCGTGAGACGGATGTGCGAAATAGGTGGCTATGGGATTCGATGAAGGTTCCGTATTCGGAGATATGGAAGAATAGGATCATTTAGTAATTCTGTTATCATACCAAATACATCGATTCATAAACAGCAGAATCTTTACTACTTTACGACTTACAGAATTTGAATGCTGAATGATGCGATTAACAACACTGGGCAAATCTTAAACTAATTTGTGAAATCACTGTAAACAGAGTTTCCAAAAAAATTGCTATTTTTTGCGTCTCAATTTTACTTAAGAATTTGCCTATTTTGCTCGGCAAAAATAGATAGCAAGAGACGCGTAGTATGAATACAATAACGTTCTCTGAAATCTACGAATCTCTAAAATACAATCTCTTAAAGACCCTATTGATCAATATAGATTGGAATAATTCAATTATAAGGCATTAGTGGATCCTGCTTCAGGTTCGCTTAACTCGTACAATAAAGAACCCTGTAAAAGCTAAGCTATATATACATATATGGCACATGAGGATGATCATAATAGACGCATCTTCAATGATCACCGTTCAGGTACTTAATTTCGTTTTATCTATGAATTAGTTACGACCAGTTGTCGCAGAAGTCCCGACCACTAAATTGTTTTTGGATTTATGCCCAATACTGTGCCTGCACTTGAATTGTATTCGACTGTAGTGGAATTCGCAATAATATCCATGCAGATAATTTTTAGTGACCGTTCTGTTGTGCTTTGAGGAGTGCTTCAACGACGAGTTGCCGAAGCGAATGTGGATTGCAATGATCGCGGTAGACTGTCCTGGATTCGGATGGCGCCTTACTAAGGCACCGATTGCTAATATAGCGAACTAAAGATGGAGCTGCGTCGCGAAAGAACGGCCTTTGTGGAGGCAGCAGCGAACCCGAAAGCATCAGCAGTAGTCGCCGCAGGTTTGAGTCCCAAGTTGAACTTTTGCAGATCGGTTTTCCACCGTTCGCGAAATCTCGCTGAAGCATGAAGTAGAACAAAAACGACTATATACTGAACTTATATATATATATATAATCTTCTAGAGTACCTATTTGTGCTATTTTGCAACGAGGGGAAGTGCGCCCGTAAAAATTAAAGACTTATAGAATACTAGAAACGTACAGACACGACTAGCATGCAAATGTCATAAAAAAACAGAATATTTAAAAGGCTAGCTTGGAATGTTTCTAAATTTGAAAAAGATATATCTGTTATCTTGCAGTAGCCCGACACAATACATCACGGACGCTAAAACTAAGCGCACTACCTGTACACAGCGTCCCTTGCAGTCAAAATAGTCACAGTCCTCATCAGTTTCACAGGGCGTACTATCCATGTTGAGCTTTAGCGATGATTCACTAAGCACAGCATCGAGATCAAGCAGTTTGACATCTGTAGGTATACGAGTCGGTGGATGCTGGTAGCGGAAATCTTCCGAATACGAGAGGGAAGATGAAGTACTTAAATTGAGTCCGATACCAAAGTGTTCCCATTTGAGGTCGCACATCTGCACTCCTAGACGCTCCAAAGTCTGTGCATAAAATCATAATGTACACGAAACATTAATCTTTAGTGAAAGTAAGTGAGTATTAGGCAATTAACCATCTAAAGCAAAACATTGCACCGTAGGGTAAAAATCACACATCACAGCAACCACTCGTAAAGCTCTTTTTGAAATATAGCTCATTAGATATTTTAACCACACAGCACCATATCTTTTGAGGCAACTCAAGTGTTTCACTTTTCAATGCTGTTTTTAATATAAGCATGCGAAAAACTAAATTAAAATAATGCACCAAAGCGTACAATCACCAAATCGACGAGTTTGATCGCTACCGTCAATCGATCCTCCAAAGGCCAGCTATTTATCAAACCCAACTCTATGTCCGCTTCTTCTACAATAAAAAGATGCGCGCACGTGCCACGAACTCGTGGAAATGGAGATAAATCTTGGGAAAACAGGTAAGACCATACAAATTCGCGTTGTTCCAATAACTGCAGAAAGTGGGTACGCTGCTGTGGCGTTAAGTTCGGCGCAGAGATCCTGCGAACATGCAAGTGTACAGTAAGCCATCAAAGTAATCGATAAACGAATCCAGAAAAATTATTAGAGTCTTAAAAATAAATTTTTACTGAACTACGGATAAGCTCAACATGCTTCGTGAGAGACAAACACATATTTTTAACCGTAATACAATTGGAACTCACGTATAGTTATAATTCTAATTAACATATTTTATGCACGGACTAATTGGTTATACTGACAAGAGCATGATGATAATCGGTACTTCGTTAAGCCTTATTTACCTGTTCCAAAGTAGTTCTTCATTTCGTATTGTGTAAATGTTTTCAATAAGCAGACGCATCCGTTCCTGAAAATCACCGATCGGATCAGTTGGGCGAAGTGGCGGAGCCATCTGATCTGGTGAGGTCCAGGTCAAATTTCGGCTCTTGGCTACCGCCTTTCCAAATGGACCCCGAAGCCGAACTACGACACGTTTGCCAAAGTGGATCAAGTTGTCACAGCTGGAAGAATAAGTTAAACTTCCTAATCGAATCCGTATCAATATGTGACAGAGCTCTACTGAACATATATGAAGTAAAAATTATTCGTGGTGCTAAAATATTTAAGGCAACTTTTATATAATGGAGTATGATTGCACTCAGGTCTGTATTTCAATTGGGAATTTTGAAAGAAACGTTTAATATGTTTATACAGAAGCCATATTGATATTGATTCAACACAATTTAATGCAATTATCCTACTCGTTTTTACATACACGAAAAGTGATTACCTTTTTTCTGAAGTTTGCTCACAAAGTTGGAAACACCAGTCACCATCAACTTTGCCGTCTCTCCACGCGCGACAAACGTTATCCAAAGTAGCCTCTTCACATGGTGAAGGACTCAGCAGAGACCAGAAAGCGATTGTTATTAATCCGACGACTGAGCTCAAAAGAATCGCTCTCTTGTAGAATCGAAACCGCATGACATCCTGTTAAGCGGTGCTGTTGATAGCTTTATGTTTTGATGAACCGAGGAATAATATCTTTCTTCTGTCAAAAATGTCTCATAGTTTCCGGTTCACTTTCCGGATGTTACTGGGAGATATCATGTAGTACATGCTTGACCTCGTAGACGTGCATCTTTCGCATATGTTTCTTTCACATCGTTGGTATAGGATTTTTTTCTTACTTCGTCACATCTCTATAAACTTGATACATAAGAAACCTAACCTTTAATGAGTTTCATGTTTCATTTCACATTACTTCTCCCACTTTATTAAAGGCCGCATTTTAGCAGGTTTGAAAAACGTTTTCCGCTAGTTTTCAGATTTGATTTCAGATTCGAGAGAGTTATGCAAAACTGGCTATTGATATTCAAAGATTCTCACAAATTTTTACTTATCAAATCTGTTTGAGACCAGCTTGTGCTGAAGATCGCGTCTCTGACTAGCTATTGTATTTAGGAACTAAATACTCCTAAGTGAGCATCGATTTTCTTGATTGAAATACTAGCGTTCAATCAGTCAAATGCTATTGTTCATTTTAATGGGCTATAAAAAAAACCGTATGATAGCTATGTCTATCTTACAATGATTATATAGGCAACATTGATGTAATTGTTGGAAAAAACAATCTGACCCTGAAGAAAATAACAGAGCTGATTCTCTGTACTGAAATGTTTAGCTGAAAATCTCAATAAGTATTATTAAATAGTTACTGTGAGTAATTGCAGTCAAATCGTTTTATTCCGGAGACAAGAATTGCACATAAACTCGGAGAAGAATATTATTGGTTGAGTAAACTCAGATTATAAACATTTGAAGAAGAAGTACATGGCGTCATTCGCGAATAATCATATTATCCAGTATAATGACACCGTACAATTAGCCAAAAAGCTCTTACTGCTGCTGCTAGCGCTTAGAGTAATAAGCAAAGTATTATAATTACTATTAGAATGCATATTCCGCTGTATGTGTGCGTGCGTACTAGTGAAGTTCAATATATGCGCTGCATAAGTTAGGTTTATAGCTATCAAATTAGTGAGTGGAAGGGAATACATTACAGGCAGTGGCCATTTTCAATATAGTCAAGTGCCCTTTTCTTTCGCTGGGTAAATCAGTCTACTGAGATTGCGTTTTATAACGGGAAATATATGGTTAATAGTATCTCACACCAATGACGAAACAGCGTTACTTTGTACACTGTTTTAAAGAAATGCGCGACAAAACCTGTGCTATTGTGAAATCATCAACCGCGAATGTATAACAATCATCGTCTACAAATATAGGTAGATATCAAGATGTCACTCTTAGGATATACGCCACAGGTTTCAGTGCAGAGTGGAAATGACATGCTTATGTGAAGTGCATCAGAGACAGCAATAATCCCGTAAGAACAAAGTACAAAACTGTGTCAAAAATGTACATGACAAAAATATAAATTTACTTCCTGACCTCGTTCACATCATTTGCAGACTGAGAGGCTGACCGCAGCGGCAGTGGCAACAAATTTATTCTCGATTTTTCGGATCCGCGCCTCGTCGAGTAGGAATTATGCTGCGCGCCATAACTCTCGTTTAATGTCAATACACTCAGTCAGCCTGAAGGCGTCGTATTAGATCTCGATCGTGCTAACTTCGAGATGATCTTCCCTAACAGTTATCATACGACAGCAACCTAAACAGCTGATACAGAAACTCATGGGGGCCGCCATGGTTGTTACTATAAGCAGACGAAACATTGTGGTCGTTGCGGTTTTTCAGAAATTTGACTTTGTTCAAGAAGGTTATGAGAAATGTAACAGAGCAAGTAAGCTAACAACTGATATATACCTTCTACATCTTACGGCCACTGAGTGGCTATGAAACAGAAGCGATTTAGGAACGCTTGACCTTTTATATACATAAACATCACGGACCAGATCTAATGTACAATTTTTGTTCTACAAAAGCTGCACGATTCTATTTAACATTTTATAGATATATACACGACTGAACGACACAACCATTTATGGTTGAATTTGTTTAACTTTGCTAATAGAGCTTACCTTGCAATTAAAAAATCAGCTACCCAGTATTTTTCGAAGCTAGACGTCTCTAGTTGTCGCGCAAATACTTAATTGAGCTTGTTTGTCTATTGCATCAGCATTGTACATGTACATGTTGTCGTCATCGATTCTGCTCTTCACGTTGTGAAACCTTTCCTGATAGAAGACACAAAAATCTAACGAATCGTTGCTGGCCAAGTCGGCTGGATCTTCATTGGTCGTCGTATCGTAGCTTTTTCGCACAAGCCCGCGCCCTCGAAAACGCTGTTACGATTACTTTTTGTTATGGTTTCGCAGAGCAATGTCTGGTCGACGTGCCCTGTCCTGTGTCTTCATTGAATTAACCAAGTACGACAGATAATTGCGGTCTCACTTTGTGGCCAAGCTGAGTGAGAGAATTTACTTCTTTCTTAGTTGTTTGTTTATCAGCGCTGTTGGAGTAATCTCCACGAGTTTCTTTCCTTTTCTTGTTATTGAGAAGTAGCTCCCCTCGCCTAACCTCCTCGTAAACCTACGCATGGTCTTACCATCCTCGCCAGCGGCTCGTTACTTTTTGCCTGCCAGACATTGGGAGGAGGTAGAACGAGCGGCCGTTATTGATCGTCTCTGCCGCTACTGTTACCGCGTGGTTAGTACTGCCAACCACCCAACTGAGTTTTTCGTTTCGCTTGCCTTATCAGCCTTTTGAGGTGCGCTGTTGTTTTTGTCCTCGCTGCAAGCTAACAGACGACAAGGGTTCGCGCAGAAAACAGACTGTAGTAGAGTAGACAACCACCAAGAAACACACAACATAACATTCGTGCAGAAGAACACAGAGGAGTGAGAAAAAAGATTTAGCCGTTCTTGCAGAACAGCAGCAGCAGCGAAAACATAGTGGCCAGTGACCGGGTAGATCTTTCTCCTCGTCGTCTATGGTAAGCAATAGAATGAGCGTGTTGTTCTGAGAATTAAGCGAAGCTGTTTGTGTTTATGGCCAAGCCCGCTTCTCGAGCTCTGTCTGCTGTGGCAACGGCGGCGGCGGCGCCACCGTAACAGCATCTCTTGCGGATACGGCGCGGGGCTGGTTGACGGCGGTAACAGCAGAAGTAGCGGCAGAGGCAGTACCCGCAAGAGTGTAGTACCGATCAGTAACAGAGCTGTGGAGTGGGAGTGGATCACGGTTGAAGATTGGCGGAGTCCTACGCAACGGACGTATACGCAGGCAGACAGATAGTTCTTGGCCCCAGCAGCGCCAACTGGTGAAAAGCTCGCGACGGTAGTCATAGCTACTACGAACGTTGCTACTGGCAAAACAGCGTTAAAAGGATAGGCAAATCGTTGTTGCTGTGGTCAGGCCGCTGTCGGCGTCACACAGCGTTAGAATCTGAAATATAGGGGGCGGTGGTAATAGTAACTCCTTCGACTCGCTGCTGTGGTGCGTATTCCTCCTCGTGGACCGTACGACGTTGCGAGACGGCAACTGTACCCTACCTACGAGAGTGTGTGTGCGTGTGTATCGGAGAGTGCCCCTCGTGGAGCAGAACAATTTCCTTCTAAGCTCTAGAGAAGAACGGAAAGCGGCAGTAGGCGCGAGGTGCAGTGGGAACAAGTGCCGTGGCAAGACATCGACATCGCCACCCACCTACGCATCAGTTCCGCAGTTGTTTTGTTGCTTAGAGGTAAGTGTATCTGCATTTCACACTCTACTAGCGAAATGAGACCAAGGGTGCTGGGGCTAATAAATTCTATTCAAAAGTTGATTTGGTAGCTTTCGGTTGCAAAAGTTACGTGAAAAATCAATAAAAAACAAAATAACGAGCTAGACACAATAAGCGCTTAGTACAGGGAGGTAGGACGTACTGTGATGAAGCAGCGAACGAAACAGTGTCGGTACAGACTGGCACGTGTAGTACCTGTTGCAAAAGCCGTCTGAGGACAGAGGAGGGTCGGTGGAGCCGCTTGTAGCGCGCCAAATAGAGGAAACGGGACGGTTGAACAGGCGGAGCAAACAGCAAACGCCGATTCGGGTGAACCACTTGAACGATGGACAAGAAACACCAAGTAGCAACAAGACAGAGAAAATTTAGTTACCATTATACCGATAGTGAAAGAATATATTGGACCATTTATAGCTTTCGGAGTAAACTAGCATCCTGTTGCGGCAGAATAGCACCGGTTATTGCTCTAGGCAACTGAATAATTTTAAATTGCATGGAAATCACTAGCATTATTTTCGTGTCAGACAAGGAGTTTAAATGAAAACTTCAATTAAATAATGACTGTACAGAAGTAGAATACCGAGTAATTACATGAAAACATATTTGGCTGTGTCACCTATTGACTAAATATATTAAAATATATTTAGTCAATAGGTTTGAAGTACGACTGAGTAATAAAGGTGTTATTGCGAGACGGTTGCAGAGAGGCCTAGATGAGTGGCCGAAACTAGGCATTTTGTAGAGCGATTTAGTGGTTGCCACGTGAATGCAACGTGCTACGCACGCCAAACTCAGGAGGGCTTCGAAACCTGCGTGTTGCTTCACCTTTTGAATAGCTGCAGTCGGCAGAGTGCTCTGGCAAAGGTTCATGACCTGATTTACGGTTGTCTAGGCAAAGGATGCTAAAGGTGTGGGAAAGCTTGTGCGACCATATTAAATACGGGAACGGGTTTGTATCCTGTTATCATCAAGGTCCCGTTTATAGTATACATTTCTACATTTTGCTTTCGCGTGCTGCGATCATCACCCGGCTATACGCGAAGCCTTAAGCACCCGAATTTTTAGAGCTTGCGGGCTAATGGCTCTATATGTGGAAATGGATTGGTCGATGACGAATTTAACGATATTTAATTGCAAACGTTTTCCATGGATAGTAATTTATTCTGTGAAAAAGCATGAAAGGACGTAAGCTAATGCTTAGTTTCTAGTTGCTCATATTATGTGGCTATACTTGCTCGCACAACATCAGTGTCTCTCCTCTCTCTAATTTGGCAGACTTACAATATGCGGCCATTGAAGCTCAGTTTATAGTAAATCAAAAGCTATTGATTTACACAGGGCTGACCATCGTCGACGCTCTTGACTTCTGCGTTTGATAAATTAGTATATACTTGTTTATATTGCATTCTGATTAATAGCAAATGACCTTTGTAAACAACGTGTGTAAGTAGCGATTCTGTTTTCATTTACATTCTGAATTGTTTATTTTTGTGGTACTGCTCGATGATGAAACCGAATTGATCGCTGACCGATAACCTATGATATGATGAATTTAATCGGAGTTCCTATGAGCTCAATGTTCGATTGTTACCTGAAGGAAGTCCAACGTTGCGTGCTAAGCTGATTGAATCCTGCACTCGTAAAGAGTAATTATTTCAGGAAGATACGACGAGAACGTGTGCTCACCTCATATTCTTGCAGTGGTTTGTCACGCGATGTAATGATTCTAGAGATATATGCAAACAGGTTGACAATTTGACTCCTGCTTGGAACATATTAGATAATCTTTCCTGCAAAAAGAAACTTTGCTAAGATGTTATAAGATGCCATGTTAATATACAAGGCAGATCTCACAAATACACGCTAGTACTCTTTCCACTATTGTCGATTGAGGTACCTTTTTTTTATCATTATAATTAGTCAAAATAAAAATATTACATCAGCATTAACTCTATGGTGTACGACTTAATATCCAGCTTATTCAGAACAGGTAGTGCGCAGTTTTTTTAGCTTGATAGACGGCTTCTAGCAGATTTCTGTAGGGTCTATAGAAGTCAGCGGGTTTCGAGTACCCTTCTGTCCTTCGTTGCTCATTGTTAAAACTTTTTATGTTAATCGATACTGTCCTTTTGCACCAGTCACAGATATTCAGTTTAGTTCTGTGTCAGCAAAAGCAATCAATGCACGTCAACCAGAAAACGTTATTATTTGTAAGCGTAAGTTTATTATCTTATATATGGATAACGTCGAAGCTGAATGTAACTATCTAAAGTATTCTCTTTAAGTAAGTATGCATTATCTGCAGGAAAAGCAGTACCATTACACACAATGAACTAGCGCATTATGTTACGATGTAAACGAATAAAGAGTTTCCTATAATTCTCTACTATGTCTATTGTTACATATATATCTTCGAAATACTTAAAAATAGAAATGCATTCGCCACTCGCAATTTCTGGTATAATTCGTTATCGTCTGTTAAAAAAGAATGAATAATCGTATATAATGTACGACTTATTTTTGGATACAGCGTGCATGGCAATTCTCTTGAGGTTTGTGTAGTGGACTTTAAACTTATTTGCAGCGGTCTTGAACGTGCGTAGGCTAGCAAAGTTTCACTTGTAGTGACGAAAATTTGCTTTTGCTTAAATAGAAAGATGAACAGTTTGTTCTTATCTAATCTAAAGTTGAAAAACAGAGCAAAAACAACGACTTTCGCTTTTATTAACTGCATTAGAAAAAAAAAGACTATGTTGTATAAGAAGGTATTTTGTTTTCAATCGTTCTTTCCTTCAAATTATATTTTTCATGCCAGTCACAACATTTTGAGCTACTCGTAGTGATGCAACAGAAATACTCGTTCTTCAATTAGTATGTCGATATCTTTTATTTATGGCCTTATCCCAGTGGTGAGATTCCGGTATTTTGAGCTAACTTGCAGGAGTGTCCACTCCTACATCTTTTTTTCATAGCTATTCATATGGAATATTTTGTTTGAATCAACGTTACTTGAATAGGATAAAATGTGCCGTTTTCACTATATTTGGGTATACACTGTATAGATGTTCTTATTGCCCAGTGTTTTAGGCTTGTTTTTCTCTATCTACGTTTATTATTATATCTATATTTTGCTTAATATAATCTAGACAGATTATAGAAGACGCATGCTGCTATGTTAATAATCTTCCCAGTTGAGTGAGCTTTCCCGTGAAACTATGTATTTTTGCTGTGAATGAACATATACACAGAGGCTTGTCGGCCAAACAGCCAACGCATTACTTGCTGTTTGAACCTCGCACTCGAAAAAGTACTTTTTCCTTTGATAAACCGTTAATAGTTTCCTATTGACCGATTTGCCAAAATGGACACTTACTACCTCAGCCTCTTGGATTGTCTTGCTTATATATCATCTCTCTCCCCTTGAGATCTACTACTATAAGGTGTAATGGATGCTTTGCTAGGTGAATCGTATGTCGCGATGAACGGCTCTTCTATCGACGGGCACATCTTATGTATCTGTCTGACGTATAATATCCGTCGATGTTGAGTAACCGCCAAACTGGCGACCTGAAAGGTTGAACGAGCAGGCTGAATGGTTGTACGTTGAAGCCTATGTGATTATTGGGAGGTAAGAACTCGAGATGAAAATCATTTCTAGACCATCGTTAAGCCACCGGTATAAGTTAATTTAACTCTACATCTTGTGATAACGGATCCCCTTGAGCTAATCCATATTCCGACTAATTTTTTATCAGCAAAGCAGGCAAATGTGGTATATATATTTGTGATAGTTATCGTTTTGCTAAAATGTTGAACAAGGGTCGTCCAGTATCGAATCTTAAGCACAGTGCGCTTTCAATTCACCCATAATGATCTGCATTCGTGGTTACTTATTCTCGATTGATACATTTATGCACCGTGTATTGTGAGGTATCTGTCTGCCATGTTTTATCTCGTTGGTGACGCTGCTGCAACAACGATTTTTTGCTGCTCGCTGACAAGCGGACACCGAACAAAAACGTTCTTTTTTCAATGAGATTTTATTCGCGATGGTTGCCGCTCAGTCAGATGCTGATTGAGACGCGGCATATATATTGCTGCTGTGAATGCAGTATCGTATCGTCTGTAAGCATCATAAATATAGATACGAATACAGTAATTTTTGATTTGGCTGTTAGTGCTTCTCTCGAGTATGCGACAGGCAGTGTCAACGCTCATAAGGCTGACATATGAGGGGGAAGCCTTATTCTTGCTTAATAGTCGGCGTTTCTGAGTCATTTCAACAGGTTATTCTCGTATCTTGCTTTCGAGTTTCGCAGCCACTGTGCGCGAAGCTCATGTTATTAATCAATAAATTATATTCGAAATGTGGGGTGTAATACATAAATATGTTTGGTTTAATAATAAGGGAACACCGCAAATAAAGATGGTTAAAAGAGAAATCGGTACTGGCCATAATGTTATCGCTATTTATTTTATAAAATTATTATTCCACTTGCTAGTGGCCATAATTTGATGTAAAGATGAGCATATTTGTTCGCACTCTTGTGGAAAACTTATTTTACACCTCAAGCATCCCCATCATTGCGATATCGCCATCTTAAGGAGGCAACCCAACAACTGCTTTAGAATTTCAAGAACAGCCATAGTTACATCATTGTTTTTTTGCATACACTCAGATTGTCATTTTTCTTCGACGTGAAAGAAAATCGAATTACGCTATTCCGTTAAACTGCCTATGATACTGACGTTGCTGTTTTTGTTGTTGACGTCGTCGTCGTCGTCGCTAGGCTTGTCCGTTTAACTGACACCCACAGGGACGAAAGGCTTCTTAACCCGAAATGGGTTATGCAACGACACGAAATGTTTCGCCTTCGTAGGTGATGTTTCATCTGATGTCGGCCGCCCAACCTGTAATAGTGCAACGTTGGTAAGGGCGACGAGGCAAATGTAACGATGCCTTATGCCTACCTACTCACAAATATACCTTGATGCAAATACACGCTTATGCTTCAGTATTTTTCCTTAACACGGCAGTAGTAGGATTATTTAGACAGCCGAAACGGCGAAGATATTATTTACAAGTAAAACAGATTCGTGTCTCTGACAGAAACCTACAGTAGCGACATTCAGGTTGCGAGCAGACGAAATTATTTCTGTACCTGTCTCTATTCCGAACTAAAAAATTACAGTGGGTTCTTGGATTATTACTACAACTATCGGTTCATCTCTGATGATAAACTTATCGATAATGTATATGATTTGATAGTCCTATGGTAATCCTATCCCTAATTCCTTTTACCAAAAGCCTGTTTTAAAATTAGTTCGTCAAAATGCGGATCACCGTGACTTGAGCCTATTTTAGGGCATAACCCACACTGCAAGATAGCAAAAAAAAACAGCTAATTAACATATGAGCTGTGTGGCCCAGCAGAGATGCGGAACGTAGCTGCAATATATGCGCGTACATCATGGAAAAGCTGGGATACTAAGGTAGTATCCGACCAAATCAACTAATACGCCAGATGAACGAATGTTTACCCAAGATGCGTCGGCATTGTCTCACAACAGTTATTCCTCAGCGCACGAACCGCATCATAATTAGTTTGCAATCGTGAGTTCGTCCATCACTCAACACTTCAAGAAACATAGGCTGGCGTTGTGCTAGTTCGTCGTGACCCGCGCTATAGAGAAATTGTAGCATTTTGTTGCTTGCCATATGTAGAAAACGCTTTACACAGATTATAACTCACTATTATCTAGTAAATGGATTCCTTACCCTCCTCGGCCAGTCATTCGTGTGGCCCCCGGGCCATTGTAATCAGAAACGCGCATGCTCATGTTTTTCCTACAGAGTGATCCCTTCGGTATGCAAATAAGCTGTCCTGGAGAGTCAGTCTCGAGTACCAAACTGGGTTTTTTTCTTACAAAAAATATCTGTAGTTGAAACCTATTTTATTTTTTGAGCTGATTTTGTCTAATTAGAGAAGTAATTGTCAAGTCTGAGCTCGGATGTCTAAAAATTGCTTAACTGGGACAATTGGGACGACGCAGCTATTGAAATATATTTTATCAGGGGTTGGTTGGATAAATTTCACATCTTCACCTCTTATACAGCAAATCTTAAGAAATGGAAGTATCTATTCTGAAAGATCCATACCCCAAGATCACTCTTAGACTCAATACTTTGGAAGAGGTTATAGTATTATATTGCGTTCCTGTTGTTAAAAGGACGCTCTGAATACAATTCATTTGTTGTTTCGTTGTCGCGTTCTATACAACTACTAGTTAGAATAAAATAGAAAGAGTGAGAAATCTCTTCTTTTACAATGGGGTCGACTCTTATTGTGTACTTCGTTTTGTCACGGAGGTTGACGGCGGTCCTCAATTTTCGTTTAGACGATGGTACTACCTTCCGAGCTCAATGCTAGACGCTCCGGCTTTGCCCGCTGGTGGATACACTGTTTGTTGAATTGTTTGTCCGTTGTGGGAGGTCTACTCTACGCAGAGACACCTGGTCAGGGAACGATGTAGTCCGACACGAACGGTCCTAAATGTTGATACCACAAGCCGATCCGTGTAATTGTTACATGATGACCGATCATTGGCGAGATACCTTTAGCCAACGTGCGAAATGTTGAACAGATTACTGCATCGCCCACAGACTCTTCGATATCAATCACTTAAAAACCTGTCGTTTAATCTTAGCGTGGGTTTCGAAGTCAATGTTACCTTATACTGTAGGACGGAGTGCATACTAACTTTTGAAGTATACTCGGTCATACTATTTCCTTATAATTTCGAAATGACAATATTCTGCCAAGAAGAGATAAAGTCAAGATAGTTTTCTAGCGAAACGAGTGTGTAATATAGGTTATAGTGTGGTAAAATACATCGTTCAAAGTGATGTCAAGCTATCTGTTTCAAGCGGGACTCAAGGATTTTAAACCATCTCTATTGAAAATGATCTATATGAATAATGGTCTGTCCAATGATGATTTATAGAGCACCATTGTTCAGCTCCTTCAAGGGGGAGGGGGTGTTTAGCGGTCAATATTGAAAACGGATAATTTCAATTTTGGGCGTTGATCCATCACGATCTTCGAAGGTACAAGCCGCGGAGCCCAAAGGTTTCGAGTGACAAGAGGCCCCTCGAGTAGTTTGCCAAAGTACGATAAGACGTGAAATAAGCGTGGAAATATTATCTAACGACATGAACATCTATAGACTACACTATCCATTAACTGAACGATTCGAGGAGCTCGTTGGTCAAGTACAGAACAAAGTCCTTCAATTAGTTCATCCAGCATTATTTACTATTGCATACAAGTGCGCGAAAACTACTGAATAATTGTGATGGCAGATAGCACTGCAAATGGCACTGCGTTTGTTTTGACTGTGCCGGTGCATGCTAGATCGCAGGAAAACTGATATTAAGGTCATGCTATCTGAGTTATCATAGCGCCGCGGCTGTATTAGAGATTGCGTAAGCAAAAAATCAAGGGTAATATTGACCACTATGATTTTTCACAGTGTCTCAAGATATTTCGTTTCTTTTAGCTACATGATAACTCTTCTACTAAGGTGCATAGTCATACTTTTTACTTTTCAAAAGTGACAAAAAAGGTTACCTAGGAACAGTTCACAAGCCCTTTTATTTTCCATGTACTGTAGCTCAGGCACAAAGGTCTGCTACAGAACCAAGACATAGGAAGCAAACCCAGGTTTTCACGAGGGCATATTTCTCTAGGGACCGCGGCTATCACCCTTGGCAGCACTTTGTTAGTTTGACACTTGTGGTGTGACTGTTTGCAATTTAGTTGGTAAAGTGAGAATTAATTACGAAAACTCCGAAAATATTTGACAGAAGTAGAAAACATGATTACAAAAGAAAATGGGTTTCGGCCTTTTTTGCTGTTGTCAGTCTTTGTCGTCAACAGTAGCAACGTAGCACCGTTGAGTTTACTATTACGTAATTAGGATATCTATTAAGTCGTTCAGTATAAAATGTAAGAATCATATATCTGATATTTTCAAATAGCGCTATTATATATATATATTTTATAACGGGTTTTCTCACGTGTATGGTGCACTAATACCCTTTGGAATCTAACATCGTTTAGACGAATATCGTTAGTAGGACTTTTGACGAAGCATGGAAAATCACAGTATTTGAGTAGCGTACAAATATATGTTTCATCTTGGAATTATGGCGACGGAAATGATTCACCGAACAAACCCTGTATTCGGTGAAGGGTATTGTATTAGAGACATCGTTAGTCGTTAACTTTGAGTTTTTCAAAACAGAATCTCTTATTTTAAAGTTGAGTGTCATGGAAAACTTTATCCGAAGGTTAAAACCCAAGTTTTGACGGAAACTGACCCATCTCAAAAAGCATAAGTGTTGTTATTCAGGTATGGTGATGAAATAGAACAGGCTGTAATATCGAGTGATCGTCTTGAGACGCTTCATAATTGATTTGCGGGTGCACCTGCGATCAATCATGATCAAAGTTTATCTTGAAACATTCAAGTAGTCAGTCTTATGACGCAATAAATTGACAGACACCATTTATCAAAAATTGCCTATAGATCAGCACGTACAGCATATTGTGATAATATTACCAGATGCTCAAGTTTTTCGACCCCTTCCGCCTTGATAAATTATGTGTGTTTTCTTTTTTGGAAAGGGCTTAATGCTACCAAAAAGGAACTTGAGGTATATTTGCTGAAATTGATAGGAAGACTTCGGTGACTATGCTGTTTAACGCACGCACCTAAAGATACTGAGTTTTAGGGCTGAGGCCGGTGGTTTAGAATAGTTCGACAATAGTTCGGAATGTATATCTGCATCATAATAAGGGGCCTCCATGGTGAATTACCGATTGATTCGAATACATTATCTCCTTGTGAACTGGCTTTTCATATTTTTTTCAAATCGAAGTAGTAATCCAGTAAGGTCGTCTTTGTCACTTTAGATTGTGCGAAAGTCATAGTGTATGCCGCCTCTCATCCTATACTATCTTTGTTTTGTTGTAAAGCTTTATAGCTGGCGCTACAACATTTGACGAAGAAGATCAGGAAGTGGCTTAACTCAAAGATGATCTTTATCTTCCTTTATCTTGATTATATTTTCAGTAGTTTCTAGCCGCTTCCGATCTTACCGATGAACCTGCCTAACCCAATGATTGATACTTGTTCTGCTTCCTAGAGAACACTAATTGGAGTATCTTCGGATTAAACCCTGTATACTGAGTAGAGTCAAATAATATAATAATAATGTATAGTCTATTAAATACCCGCGTTCTAGTCGTTTAATTTTCTCTTGGGGGGTGTCCGATCTGAGCTAGAATGTTACGCTTAAAAAAAACCACCACAAAAAACTTAGTTACTACAAGTGCCCGATATGTTAACGCGCTGCTACAGCGAGTTAGACACCGAGGGAATGTTGTCGCCTATCCGATATAATTGTCGTATCTCATCTTATCGAGCGTAAATGCACTGCTTCCTTACCGATAAAAAGAAGTAGTAAGACGGATGGTTCCGCGGATAATTACCGCTTGTCGGTACTTTCAAACTTGTGACCAGGTATTCTTAGAAACTATTCAACATTAATAAGACATGGATACGTATCGAAATTTCTTATGCGAAGTTATCTGCTTATATAATGTGGTCGTTTATCTACTTTTCCGCCACTGCCGATTATATGCATGTGGATTTAAAAAAAAATATACGTATTTTTCTCCATGTCCTGTATGTCGCTAAGCCTCGAGTGCGCACCTTCTTCGCTATTTCTTTGTCAATGGAAGGTGCAATGCACGTTTTTGTTTCTTTCGAACAGGTATCATTTCCGTTTATCAAATTACATTAGGAAGAAGAGCTAAATTAGCTTTTGCTTATCTTTTTTCTTCAATCTGTATCCACGCGGACTTATTTGCCATGATTTTCTATTTTTCCAATTTGGTTGTCGTTAATGCTGAGCTTGATCCTTCACTTTGATCAAAAGCGTTCACACGGGGGATTAATTTCGATGATGTAATTTGTTATATCTTTTCGTTTCACTTATTGGAAGCTTACATGTAATATAACGAAATGAAGGTGAGTTCCTTTTCTAGTTGAAATACATTGATTTTCTAAGATATGGGAAAGAATCGCTGTCTTTGTTTGTGTAATTTTCCATTTTCTATATGCATACTTCCCGACTCTCCGATTATTGAACAACGCTACCGTGATGATAGTGCAAATACGAGCGTCATTTAATATTAGCCCATTAGCTAGCTCGAGTTTGATGTGTGTGATCCGCGCACTGGAAACTGTATATGGAGCGTAGACTGAAACGAGTCTTCAGTCCGTGATATGTATGTTCCTTTATAACTCCAAGGCTATCATTTTCTGAATTCATTTTCAAGTGAACGTATATTTAGTGGAGAGCTAAGTTCTTATCAACCAAGGTATCTTTTGGCACAACTACTTCACCTGGACCTAATCTTCTTCAAAAAGCGTTTTCTTGCCAGCGGCTGTTCTTCTAAATTTCGGCGTGACGCATCATCCTATGAAGCGAGGATCTTTTCTGACCGTAAGTGAAACTAGCAAGAAATTAGAGAGAACACAAGTAACGATTGAACCGATGAAAGTATATAGTACATAGATGTGTAGACGCGGAATAGAGTCACACTACGTAGGGAATATTTTACCCTATTGAGAGCTAACATATAAACATTACCATAAACCGGCAAACATTTATTATACAATGTTTGCTATGGCCAGTAAGGCCACCGTGTTCCTACGTGCTAGTATATTTCGACGGTACGGTGTAAGTAGATAACCGCAACTAAGAATGCTCAAGCTAGTGTATTTCAGCAGGCATGTTTAAGTGATCCCCAGGCCGTCTTCCTAGCTCTGATTTGTCAAATCGAGAGTGGGTATTTCGATTTAGCGCATAATAATGCACAAGATTCTCTAATAGACTAATCAACCACCGATAAGATAAAGTGTATTGTATCGTAATTATGAGCGACCTTCAGTGTGCGTATAAAATTTCTCTTCCGAAGTCACCGTGACCGCGTACTATCTCTAATCGTCAAGGTATGATCTCACTTTTCAATCTACTCTCTAACCTCTGCTGTCTTCAGTAAAATACCGACGAACAGCATGTAAAGTTGTCTAGATGAAATCATAGTCGTAGGATATTACTTATACATATACAAACTTTAAAATATTCCAGACCCAAGATGGATTTACAGATTGAAACGTTAACAGAAGGTCATTAATACGACTCTCGAGCAATACGTTCAACCCCATATTTGTATGATATGAACAGGAACCGCGTTCAGGACAAAAGCCAACCATAATTGATTCAGACTCGTTTTAACCTTGAAGCAGATATAGTTAATTGTTTAGCGTTCGAAAACGTCCGGTTTGTTGTCGTCGACAAGTCAGTGCATTGCAGATCGTAAATTAAAAAAGCATATTCTATTGATTTCCAGTGGCACACGACATTGGCAAACCAAAGGTCGAGAAGAAACTAAAAGATCGAGTCACTTCTCAAACTGAGCTTCCACTCTATAAAGAAAAAAAAAAACGAAAAGAACCTTAATGCACTCAGTAAAGTACATAGATTTTATCGCAAGGAACGATGTTGTTCTGTTCTGGTACAGACACATGTCTATTTCAGGCGATGAGAGACTCAGTTTATCATTTTGGCAAATCGACAACTAAGAGAAAGTAGCTGCTTGTTGAGCTAGTAATCAAAAACAAGATGCTTTCTACTGGTACAAGATGTTCTATAATGTTCTAGGCATAGGTACGAAACTTTCTGCTACATGACCATGAATTAAAGTATGCTAACAATTATGCACTTAGCAAACACACTCTGTATATATATTCTGGAAATGTTTTTCCATTCGTCTTTCATGAACTTTTGTACGCATGACAACATCTCCGGAGGGAAAAGAAAAATCGAATTAATCGATGACACGAAACTACCAGCAAAACATAAACGGGGAATAGGCATTCAGCAAAAATCTCAAGCGCCTCCCCTGATAGCCTATAGTCATTTCTTCACCATAAAACTGATAAAATATTTCGGTCTTTTGAAACGATTTCACTGGCTTAATATGACATGAAAAAAGGCGTACATTTGGCATTGGGTTAATTTTCTGCCCCTTTTACCTTCTCATTACAGACCTTCCAGGTGTATTAAAAGCTAGCAAAAGTACAATTTCAGTTTGACGTGTAAGCTTAAGGCCACCTGAATTTGTCGTCGACGCACGTATCGGCATTTAATCCGCTCTATTTACTCGGCGTGTGGGTAAGTGGAACTATTTCATCTTAGATAGGTTTGTTTTATCTATTTGGTACAAACGAACGCGAAAACGAATGACATTATGCGAAATTCAGTTACAAATGATCAGTTTTTTGTTGCCCTGATACGGTTACTTCTCAATGATTTGGCTCCATTGCGGTCAGACGTTTCAAGTGTCCTAAATCTTCACGAAAATCAAACGTGACGTAATGGTATTGATTGGATAACTTCATATAGCGTAAAATGTCCTCAGTGAGGTTTATTATGCTTATAATGCGAGCATCGAGCCTGTTCGTAAAGATCAGTTACACGTTTTGATAGGGTACACCATAAAGTCTACCTATCGGGTGAAACATGTTTTGTATAGCATGATATGCTGCTGAGGGGCAAGCCAGTAAAAACAAAACAACGTGAACATACGAGTCAGTGCGGTGAAGAAGGATTGTTCTTGTTCAGAAGATTCTGACTGTAGTACAGTGAGCAAGAAAATGACTAGATCAAAGTTCCACTTGTGAAGATCATATTCGATAACACTCGGTAATCAACGAAAAGTGGGAAAGCTTTTATTAGACACATAAAAACGTGGTTGCATTTAGTGAATGCGCGGCATGATATTAGCAAACATGTTGACTTAGGCATAACGAGCAATAGAAATAAGGCTAATTTTGTAGCAATTAATATCTGTATTGGTATTTGTGTACCATTCGAAAGGAGTACCATTTCGGACAACCGGAAGGGTGTCTCTATTATTGGCGATGGAATTACTGGCCGAAAACCCGTTTTATTTATGCTTAGGCATGAAACACTGTATAAAGCAGACTACGAGTTCACCATGGAATTCAATTGCGGTAATTAATGTGTAATTTTTTCTACAGCTGTACCTCGTAGATCAATCGAGCTCACAATACAATGACTAAGGATGATGATACGACAGGCGATAACCCCGAGACGGAGACATTTCTCAACCGAAGCTCTGTGCCCGAAAGCACTCCGACCCCCGTAAAACTTGCGCCGGGATGGGAGTCCCGCTACTCAAACTCCGATCTCGTCGTAACCCTGAACAAAGACAGTTTGAGAGAGGGTAGTCCTCCAGCGGATCGCTTAAATCTTTTATTTTTAATTATGCTTATACATGGGGTAGGCACGCTGATGCCATGGAATATGTTCATCACTGCCAAGGAGTATTTTACTAACTACAAGCTGAATGTGAGTCTAATAGAAGATACAAACTCGACCGAATATCGGACGTTGTACGAATACAGAGAAGGCTTTATGGGTTACGTGATTATCGCGTCACAGATGCCCAATCTGCTCTGTAGCCTCATGAACCTGTTTGTGCAGTTCGGTTCTCAAAGTCTAGGCCCGCGAATCGCTGGCTCGATCTTAATCGAAACAATTTTATTTGTGGTCACCGTAATCCTCGCTATGGTCGATTCATCGGGATGGCCTAGTACATTCTTTTTTATTACGATCGCGAGTTTGGTAAGTCCTTCTGTTCGTGTTTGACTTTTGTAGCACGTTTTATGTCAGCACAAAACGCATGGTTATGCGGTCTCACGAAATACTCACTAGGAAATTATGTGGATTGACAATTGTTTGATACATGTATATGATACGCTCACCATGTTTATACATCACAAATCGACATTTGATCTACAATAACTTGTTAACCTTAATAGTGTGAAGCTCGTCTGTCATTGTTCCTGCTTTCTTTTGGACTCATAGGTGATCATGAGCGCTTGCGGGGGTATCTACCAAAACAGCATCTACGGTCTAGCTGCTAAGTTGCCAGGCAAGTACACCGGTGCAATTGTTCTAGGGACCAATATCAGTGGAACGATGACCTCGGCAATGAATATCTTGTCAACCTTTGTTTCGCCTAGTGAGAAGACGGCAGCGATATACTACTTTATTTCAGCGCTCTTCGTTCTTCTGCTTTGTCTTGACACGTACTTCGCGCTGCCACTGCTGAAAATTTTTCGATACTATCAAAAAAAGGCAAGTAAAGAAGAAGGCACAGGGGGACGCCCGCCCTACTTTGCCGTATTCAAACAGTGCTGGTTTAACTGTTTGAACGTATTTTTGTGCTTCTTTGCGACGCTAGCATGCTTCCCGGCAATCACGGCCGACATTGTCGCGGTCGACGAGCACTTTCCCGTCCGAGAGAAATATTTTGTAAAAGTATTCTGTTTTCTATTCTTCAATATGTTCGCCATGATAGGCAATGTGTTTCCAATGTGGTTTAAATTCCCTCAGACATCGGGACCGACCGTTATACCAGTGCTGCTTCGATTCGTTTTTATTCCTTTTTTCCTCCTGTGCAATTTCCGACCGCAAACCCGTATCTACGACTCATACTTTGGCGACTACACATACATCGCTGGTATGGTTGCGTTCGCCGTCACTCATGGTTATTACTCATCGCTAACGATGATGTACGCCACCGAAGGAGTCCATCCGCAGCATACCGCTCTGGCAGGAATGATGGCTGCTTTCTTCCTGGTATTTGGTATCTTCCTTGGAGGCAACTGCATCTTCTTCGTCAACAAGTTCCTAAGCGGACCACCGCGAGTATAATAGGCAGTAGTTAGTCTGTGCTAATTTTGTTGGCTTAAATTATGAAAGCAAACGAACACGAAACAGTACGCTTATTAGCGACTGGTACAGTCGGCCTACGAACAGAGTAAGTTCAGGGATATTTTATATAACTAATATAAATCAATATCAAACGGATTTAACCGATGACACAGCGATTTCAGGTTGAATGGTAAAAAAACAGGAAAGAAAAGGACCTCGACACGGGGTACACCCTCTTTATGATGGGAATGATGATTATATTCAAGTTATAGATACATTTTTTTTTTAATATATATTACAAAGAAAAGTTTCTACTTAATTAATTGATACTACTATTGGAGTAGATTCACCTACGATGCTGACTCTTCCATTATACCTCGCGTTGTTCGCAGCGAAAACAATATAAGCCATAATGTTGTACTATTTATAAAACAAAGGACACATTAAAAACAGGAAAAACCCAAGTTACCATATAATTCACTTGGCATAAAACATCGATTGTGCCGTAGATGCCCGTCACCGCCGACTGATATAGCCGATGTTCAGGAGGGTAACGCGAAAGTGATCGACCTATTTTTGGTAGTAGTATGACGACAAAAATCCTTATGGATTTCGGATACATGCATTAATACAGTCCTTGCAACCAGACGCCTAACCTGACCTACCAATAAAGTTAACCTAGCCGGTCGCTTCTGTATTCTAGCGCTGTTTATTTCAGTTAGTTCATTACTATGAATTTAAACCCCCATAGCACTCTTAGCTGCTGTACCCAAAATCTTGTTTGTGTCTGTTTGCGCATGAGTGTACCATATAATGTTCAGTTTGACTATTGCTGAGCCAGTGACCCATAATCACGGGATACCGAAAATGTAAGAGCCGAAATATACCAACACATCAACGTAAATACAACAAATTATACCTGTTATATAGCTATCAGGTTTGACATTATGGCGATGCTGTAGCGTGTCCCGTAAAAATAAACGTTACACTTTTGATTGTTATTACTGTCATTAAGTTGAACGTTGGCGGCCCAATGTGTGCTAGTTTTCTGCATCCATTCCTTTTTGGGCAAACAGAACGTTACGTGTGAATCACTACCAACGCCCAATTATTGAAATGTCATCTGGGCAAGGAAATTCGAATATTCATTGTGGTAAAATAGTCCAAGTAGTTTAACCGTGTGTTGGTTAGAAAACTCGACAACATATTCAAGAGGAGGAGGAGGATAGGATAGACGTTCACGTGTCGGACTCTTGCATTCAAACAAAGTACTTCATCTATACTATATCAACCTTAACAGATATTAGGATCATTTAAAAGATTTACTTGAACGCTAATGTACTTTCTATTATTTTATACAACATGCTTCGAAGCTTCAATATCACGGAATTGCCGTGAAAATAGAGGCAGATGTTATAGATTTCTACAATTTTAGATAGACAACCAAAGCTCTACATCTTTTTGTAAAAAAAACATATATATATATATATATATATATATATATATATATATTAGGTATTAAAAAGAGAGAGAGAGAGAGAGAGAGAGAGAGCAAAAAATATCGTTGAGACGTGTAGCCTATATGATAGTTACACTTATATGTGCTACCCTCTCTCTCTCTCTCTCTCTCTCTCTCTCTCTCTACATATATATATATATATATATATATGCAATTGGTGAAAAAAACGATGCTTGCGATGCTAGTACAGCACTGAATTATTACATTAGTTTTTGTCAAATTACTAAAGAGTTATGATAATAATATTCATATCCGTGGAACATACAAAATATATAAAAGATCGTATTGCGAAACTAGCGTTCTGATAGAGAAAATGGAGCGGTACTGTTCAGTTAATCATCGCGAACCGCGGACGCGATCCCCATAGCTCAGCGGTAAAATTAACGTTTAACTGAATGAGCAGTGATCACCTACTACCACGCGAGGAGTTGCTGTGACACTGGGCTAATACGTGCGCAATAGATTAATCCATGGAGTATATTTTATGAAATTTTTATTAAAAATGTATAAGAATGTGTAAAAATACATTAAGATGCAAGCTTTAACCTTACAGAGCAATCGAGCCATAATGTAGGTAGCCAGAGACTAAGTGATTTTATACTGAGACAAGATACACATATTGAAGGAGAACGCCAGGAGTGCTTAAATGAAGTAAACGAAAGGATATTAGTGTGCGCAAAAGCATTAATTAGGTATATAGCTAGCGTGCCTAGCAGGCAAAGTAAGAACGCAGAATACAAACGATGAGATGCAAGCGTTTTTCGGGGTAGGATTTTTTTCTTCTTCGAAAAGGAACGCATGACAAGGCCGGGCAAAACGAAACTGTGAAGTCGACGGCGGGTCCGCAACTTAGTTACCACTATAACCATCATGTAAGAAGGCAAAAATCAGATGACTTAAAAAAGTTACTTGCAAACACAAATGTGTTTTTGTATTACGTCAAAATCTTTCAGTATCAATATATATATAACTGCTAGTAGCCTATTCACAGTGGCTCAATAAAGACCGTTTTGAATCATGGCCTGGTACATGACGCGTACATGAAGTACCGCTGTACTATCTGTTCTCTATCATTTTCAAGCACATAATTTATCTTGTACCCAATGAGGAGGGGAAGAAAGTGTTACTACTTATTTCATCTATATACAAATAAACAAGTATCGTTGTAGGACTATACGATTGTTGTTGAATAATACTGCAGCGTTGCTTACATGAAGTGGCATTTAGTGTTTACAATATGTTACATACTATTTTTATGATTTCTATCATCGTTCGTCTCGTACTATGACTACAGTACGAGATGTAATGTAATGTAATCATAAATGTAAAAGTTACCGCCGTATTACGTAATCATATCTATACACAGACGAACATGTTTTCTTGCAACGAGTGCTATTATGGAGCATAATGTGGAAGCGCTGAAAAAACTTCTGTGTAGCACTAGGTAGACAACGTTCAGTTACCTTTTCTAGATATATATATATATATATATATATGAAAATCTGGAAAAGTAAAAACGACACTTGTTGTAAGAGACGTGTTTTGCTACGTATTAACAGAAGAATCACAGTAAATATGCAGCTAAAAGGAGACTTTGCAAAACTGGAAATCTCGGACATCGACAACTAGAAACCGGGTCGAGGCTGTTAAAATCAGCTAACAATGGGAATTGAATACTAGACATGTACAAATGGAGAGGACAGTTAACCGAGTCGTATGTGTGTGCGTGTACAGATTTCATGTGACAATTCAGATTTCAAAAAAGACATTTTTTGAGGAGTACTGATTTCGACCGTAAAGAAAATATGATAATACAAGTGAAAAATACATACGCAAGAATACTAACCTGGGCTCGTTTTTTTTATTCCACTTGTAACTCTGCGCAAGTCTATTCGTACGTGAAGAACGTACATCGTGATGAAGAATTTTGATTAAGGGATGGTGCCTTGGGCCACGTGAAGATTTTCGCCCGGAGTCACCCCTGTTGCTAATTGACCCCCATACCTGCTACATACAATAAATGAGATTGACTTTGTAATATTGACTTCGAAAAGATATGTTAAACGATAGGTAGAAGTTATCAAAGCAATATCGACACGAATTCGGTGGACTGATTTCAACTAGATAACTTATCGTACTTTTTGACAACGCAGATCCTATGCAATGGAAAGAATTGCACACGAGCATTGGCTTAACCCTTTGTGAGCTGTCTCAATAAACCTAAAGGTGAACTTGATGATGAACGCCCAGGGTCTACAGCAGCCCACCTTGGCAAAATCCTATGACACGATTTCAAGATCAGAACATCGATCATGATTAATTGATCTCAACCAATCGATGGCATTTCGCATATATAACGTAATGATTACTCGCTAGAATGTCCTGGTCTCTGAGCTTCTCCTTATATTTAAACATTCGAACATATGTTTTCGTTACTGTGCGCTTATAATTAGTGCCATCAATTGGTGGGATTATTGAAAGCATTTCTACGTCTTACAACTGTACCGTGTATGATGGTAGTGTCCTTTTTGCAGTAAATAAATAAATATAAATATTAAAATAATATCATACATAAATCAATCGTTTTTTCATGCGAGTTAACAAGCAAGCGTATACATTGGAGCGTGTACTAGAAGACCTGTACCAGTTGGCAAATATAACCGTTTAATAAAATGTTACATTTTATTGAGATAAGTGGACACATCGAGTTTTTTTTTAATTCTGTTTTAGCATTTCATTCAATATTATCGACAAATGAAAAATTGCAGTAAGAGAACTCTACCATCATCTGTGGATTTTATACCTTTAATAGTTTGCATTAACCAAATTACTCTGACATTCGACACAACGATCCTCCTCGTCATTTTCAACAACAGTCTTTTTGTAGTAAGCAAATGACGGATACTGTCATTGGCAACTCAATATGTCATGTTCGGCCTCAGCACAAGTCTTCTACATAGATCTTCAAACGTAATGCTCGTATTCGTCGTCTTCTTCCTTTGTCAATTTACGGAAGATTACGGCAACGTCCACGCTGGCTGGGGATAGGTCGTTAGAGGAACTCAACAGCGCCACGATTGATGTAAGAACCGATCCGACGTTCCAGCTTGGAGTCCATCTCTCGCAAACGAACTCCTGACAGTTTGTTTGAATTGCCAGGATGTGGGGTTCAGGTGCACATTGCACCCTCGGGGTAGATGTTCGGATGCTACATCAGTGTCAAGCACGTTGAGAAAAACTCTGAGAGACTCTGAGCAGGAGCTTCGGATATGGATTCTCGTAAGGAGCTGCTAGTAGTCGACGTATAAAGACATGCTATCGAAAGAAATTAGCGTCATCGATATGCTCTGTTTTGATTCCCTCAGGATTATTTTTTCTAGTTTATGTAGCTCCCTTCGGAGTTCTAATGTAGTCGGTGCCAACGTCGCGTAATTCTTCTTATTATGGACCACCGGCCATAATTTCTGAGATCTCACGTTCACGCGTTTGCGAAACTTTAACATTTGTTCAATGGGTTCTATGTCAGTTTTTCTCAGATGACTAAAGCGTCAATAAACTCTCTCAACAGAGGCCACCGATGCGGTGAATGCTAAAATTATTCTGAGATACAATATATGATGGGCTACAGGACAATGAGGTGACGTCTGATAGCCGCTTGAAGCACAGCGGTCATTAGTTAGCCGCCAAATGATTCCGTTGTGATGGTCAGAGGTGAGGTCTGTTGTATACATTATAAAACTGTACGTGTGCATGATGTAAAATGTATGTACATTCACTCACCCTCTAGGTTTCGAAACTCGCTAGCAAAGAGGTTATTTTTTGACCTACGATTTGAAGGACGTGACTCCCCCTGTGTATCAAAAGCTAGAACAGGTTCAACTCGTGTTAATGTCGAGTTCTCCGATATTGTCTCTTGCAAATCATAGGTCATTATTTATTTGGTTCAGCTTGTCCTTTTGAAATAGATTTGTACCTAAATTTCCTTGATTCCGCAGTCGTTGGCATGATTCGCTATTGCTTGCCACCAATACATCTCTAGTTGGCTACAGTGAGTAGCCTATGAGACGGAAACTAGGGAGAATCCTTAAGCCATTATATCTAGCCGGCCTATTTATTACGGCTTCGGTTTTTAAACATGCCTTTGATAAGATGCGTTTTGTATGGTATTTTTTAAACAAGATTCTTAAACGCAATAAAAACAAACAGAGCACAACCAGATAGGATTCCGAAGCAATAATTAGGTAAAATGTTTATTGAGGATGGATGCGTTACAAATTCATCAAATACTGCGGACGCATAGACTGGAAATGAAGTAGGTTAACTTTTCGAGATTTTTCATGCCTTCAAATTATTTCACTTTTAGTCTAGTTTTATTTTCTCGTCTTAAAAGATACCCATGCCTTGATTGTTTAGTGAGGAACAATTACTTCGAAGCAAAGATCGCTTTCGGTCATTATTTACCATTGCCTTCAGAATGTTTAACACTTAAACTTCCTTATTCCCTTCAGAGTCCAAGTCAGTTGTGTGCTAGTATTATATAACTACATATTTTAACGAAGACTTTTACTTTTCGACCTTTGGCCATAACTCGTGCATTAGCTAAGCACAAACTATCCTAGTTTTCGAAATGTGAGCCATTGATTTAGTAATAGAATTATCTCAATAAAATCCTCGATAAAATTTTGCAACAGGCATGCTTCATAAAACTTTTCAAATAGATATATGGCACCCTTCGCAGAGGAGTATATATCCTCGGGTATTGATTCATACGTATGAGTGTCCGTTCCATTGGACCATTTCATCGAACCGAAGAAAAATATCGTAAAATATTTTCTACAAAGCAACGGTTTGAGGTGTAACATTTAGGCAGAATAATGCACATCTCTTTTAAGTGTAAATCATGTTTAATTTTATTTTTATACTTAATTAAATTTAAACAATAAGTTACGCATCTACTCTTTTTTAATAGGATGATTACCTAAAACCCAACATAATGTCGAAATACTTTATATACTGAATATATTATTATCCAAAAAAAGAAAGGTCATTGATAATACTGATGGATACTATTGAAAATAAAAGAAGTAAGCTTATTAGAACTTCGAAAAGTTAGAGTTCACTTTGTTACATATCATACTACATATATATATATATATATATATATATATATGAAAACCATCAAACGTTTTTATCGGGAATAAATAGAATATATAATGTACTCATACAAAAAGTTGGTCGCTCTCGTCGGCGATGTTTAACAACCTAGAGTAAATTACGACATTGCAATGCAATAATAATCTGTGATAATCGTCTCGTTACCCCGACACATTAGAAGCATCCCGTTCGATATACAGATCCTATTGAAGAATCTTCAAAAATCTTCTTGCGCTTGCCTAGCGTGCCATGGCCAAAGACTTGGATACCATCGTTGGCCTCTTCGGGTAAGCTTTCCAGCACGATTTCTCTACGCAAACTCTAGGTTGCGTTCTTAGCAGTCATCGTTTTCACCGTTCGACGCTTACCATTTATGAAACATTATGGCAGCATCCACATTACAGCTGGTGATGGGTCGCCGAAGACTTCAACAGCGCTAAGATAAACATAACGATCGACGAAATGATCCGAGTTGGACACCATTTCTCGCTAGGTAATTTTAACAGTTTGTTCTCGTGAACCATCAAGATGCGCATATTACCCTGATAAACGATCTTGGGAAGCCATATTGTTATCAAAAAGCGCGTTCAAAACGTCTGTGAGGAAGGCTGATGCTGGAACGTTAGGAGCAACATGAGGTGTGCGTTTTCGTAAAAGGTCTCTGATCGCCCCAGGGAAGTAGCTTTCTATTCCTTGAAATCTCAGTCGTTGACCGGTACTTTGATAGCTTTAGAGCTATTCTGCGTCAGTTCATGAAGTTCCTTTTGAATCTGAATGGTAGCCGACATCGAAATTCCGCCTTTGTATTCGGACTTATTCATACGCATACTGCTGTTGCAATTTTTTGTTTACAAAGACAACGGGACAATGGAGCCTTTTCGTAAAAGCCACGAGTAAGGAGATTCGTTAAACGGGTTTTCTATTCTGTTTATTTTAGCAGTTCTACTTAATTTTGTTGTCATGTAAATAATTTCTCGGAATTACCTCGTTTTCGGTGTAACACCAAGGACTTGCCCCGACTAGGAGTCCAAGCGGAATGGGCTTATCTGAAGTTTTCCAATAAAGCTATAGTAAAAGCGTCGTGAAAAACAATTGGCCATAGACGAAATTATTCATTGAAAGATTGATGCACATCGCTAGCAGATCAAACGCGCATCCGAATCGGGTACAACAGGGCATTTGGAGCCATGGATAAAGTTTCCAGTTGCGAACGAAGCCGAGATAAGATTTACTAGCTTGTTTCAATACAATGTACGTGTCCAGGACGTGGCAGACGTGTGTACTCACTTAGCTGGTCACATTTATTTAAGTTATCTAAACGTGTATCGTAAGTGGAACTGTGTACTTAAACTAGCAGTCAGTTAATGATAGATTAAAAGAATGAGCACAAATTTCTTTTTCCATAATTTTTGTAAGATCTGTCTACAACATGAGTTCAGCTTCAAAATGCTGTTCTATGCAAAACGTTAGCGATTTTTTAGAAATTAAAAAAAAAATTTAAACTGGAAGTTACTAAGCAGAGTTAATCACTGTTACGGCTTCTTTAAGCGGTTGTAATAATTGTTAAAGCATGTCTCGTTGAATGTAAGTTACGTTAATTTTCTGAGGCCTGCACTGTAGTACACCGACTAGCACACTTTGTCTGTCCGTTTCTAAGTTAACTTTACTAATAAATTTATCTAAATATATTTTGTATCCTATTCCAAATTTCAAAATCTGGAGGGAAGGCCGTGGTCAGAGTGTTCCCTTAGCTTTTTTGTACGACCGTGCTTATATTTAAATGTGATTTGTAGGCTTTTACCAGGTAGTGCCCAAAAACCAAGTTTGCAAACCTAAACAGGCTTTTCACGTAATGCTTAGCAGAGAAAAGATCATAAAACAACCAGTTTGCCAAAGAAGCCCCGTAAGCTCAACTTTCTGGTTCACAGTCAAGATAAAATAGCACTATTTGTCTGTGACTGTCGACAACGCCTCGGCTATAACAGTGACTTAGTTTAAGTGAAAACAATCAAGACAATCCAAATTAATTTTTTTGATTGTCATGTATGGTAATTTACCATTTGCCAATGCTTTCAAATACGGATCCCAGTGCTGATTTTAGTCGTAACCCAGCCCGTCTGTAATTCAGGCCCTGGATCGAACTGACCTAAGTTTTATTCATCAAAACCTAAACAAAGCACTAATAATAAAGAAAACTGCTAAGGATGATCCCGTTGTCGACACACGATACCATATGTAAGTCAAACTAAAATAATAATGAAGTATTCTAGTTTCAGTTTCAGAAAAAAACTGGACACTTAATCATGACCGATGAAAACTTGAGGATTTGAAAAGAATAACGGAATGGTGTGTTTAATAAATGTGTAGAATATATTTCGGGGTTCAGTCTCTCTTCAACACCAGAGATTTCAGTTGATTTCCTTCTGGAGGGGGGGGGGGGGAGGAAGAACAGGCATCCACCTGTCCTAAATTTTTGAGAGAAAAAAAAGGTCGAATGTTACAGGCTCTATTCAGAAAATGTTATCATATATATATAGATTTTTTA